ATACCAACAAAAAGAAGCAAAGTGTAAAAAAGATTTAGAATATTTGTTGGAACACTTATGTCAATAAATATCTTCATGGTCTCATATGTCTCAAAACACCATTAAGATAGTTACTCTCGACATCACAACAATAAAAACTAATACAATAGACAAGTCTAGCCATCATAGGTAATAAATAAATCAACTATATCAATCAAATGTGCCGAATTTCAACTCAATAACAAAAAATAAATTACTTGCTCCATACAAACAAAACATGATACACTTTGCTTAGGAAAAAAGAGAACCATGGTCTAGAGAAGCCAAGTGTACAAATACCCAAACTATTTGTTGGGAGAGAAACCTCTTAAATTGGTCGTATAGACTTCGCTTCCAACAAAATGATTTAGGTTTTTATACACTTTACTTTTCTTTGTTCATATTTAAGATTTACATAAGGAAAGCAATTGATTTGGCAGCTATTTTATCATTACAAACTTTTATTACATTGTCATGAACAAAACAAGACAACTCAATAACATAAAAACTTAAAAACTTTAATGGGCCACACATGCTCAAGAAGTATGCGCGTGGGACCAAATATGCCCTCCACATATAGTTATTTAAAATAAAGGCATATTTGTAGCAAGTATTGGGCGACAAAAGCATGTTTGTGCCAAAATATTAATGATGGTTAAATCCGCTCAAATTTGCATAGTTCAAGCGTATTATTTCGACCTTTTCCTTTTTGAGATTTATAGTAATCTGGTTGTTTGAATCTGAAGTAGGTTTCTTCATTTTGGTTCTCGTTTAGGCTTTGAGAGAGGAAAGGAAAATGTAGATTTAAGGGAAAGAACAAAAATAGATCTTGAGTGGAGAATTTTTGCGTAAGAGAGAGTGTGTATGGGTAAAATCGGGGATAAAGTTACCCCCGATTTCTCGATAAAGAAATGAGAGACAACGTGGTTCGACGCAGGCTCGGGTAAATCCGAGGGCTCTCGCAGATCAGATTCTGGGGGGGCGAATGACGCATCAAAAATCGGACATGGCCAAATATGGGAAGAATCGAGCTCAAGCAAAATAAAAAATCGAGGTTAAAGGGAATACATTTAGAGTGGACGAACAAGGGGCTGAAATATCCGCCATCAACCGGATATTACGGTGTTAATCTCGCCCGATATCAACTACAGATCATGTTTTACTAGAAGAGAAGGATTTTTACCTTATCTATACTTGTACTAAGATTGAAACTCCCCTACTTCATTTTTTACCTACTATTGGCGTACATATCAAAGCAATAAAGTTTATTTTTGTCTTTTAGCTATTGTTCAAAGTGTTCTTCAGCTGTTCTTTTCTTTAGGTGCAACAGAGCAAATCTCGAGGACTTGTTCAGAACCGATTTCAACATTCAAACTTAAAGCCATGCTTAATTGTTCCATCTTATTTAGGATTGTTTAAAATCGAACCGTAATCACTAACCGAATCGAAAAAATGGCTTATTAATATCGGGTTATCGGGGTAACGGTTGGTAAACGGATTGACATTTTATAATTAACAACTTAACGATTTGGGGCAGATTACTCAATTTCCTTATCAGATAAGCTGTTAACCAGTTAAGAATTTTTATATTTATACTTTATCCCTATGTATATAAAGTAATTTTTGAAACCCTAAGGCTTACAATCTAAAACTAATTTATCAAATCTCAATAGCGGCTGATAAGCACCCCTCCTACAGTGACTAATAACAAGTATTGACATGGTTGACTACTAACACGAATTAGCAAAAAATCTAACAAAAATAACAGAACTGGTAGTAAACATGAACTAGTTCATATCAAATAAACACCCACAAATACTTACCAGATTAGTTGAAATAATGCTTAGTTTCTTATTTAGCATTTCTGGAGGGCAAGAAAATTCCAGTTACTAATCTAACTAAGATCGTTGAAGATTTTTTGTCAAGTAATTGGAGGAAAGAGCTTGGATGATGTAACAACTGGTTATTTGATGGATCTTATTGTTGAACTAGTTGTAATTGCCGAAAAGAAATCAAAGGGCGGGGTAAAACGAAGTTGTCTTTACAATGTAGTACATGATTTATGTGGAAAATGATAAATTTTCTAGTTCTCTACTTCTCTTTTATTGTCTATTTGGTTTAGCCGATAAATCGCCCGATAACCGCCCGCTAGTCGTTAATCCGATACTAATCAACATGATATTTTATTGGATGGTTAGAAGACTACTATATTTATAAACCGATAACCGATAAGATAAACCGTTAAGCGAAAATAACCTCCCAATCCGCCCGATAAGTACCCCTAATCATATTTGGTTTAATCATCTTATTTTCCTTTAATTTAATTATTTATTGTTCTTAGATTATTCGTGTTAAATTAAATCACGTATCCTTTAAACAACGTATAAATTTAATTGTTACTTATTTTAGGGGTAAACAATTTGGCGCTCACCGTGGGGCAAAGGATAATAGTGGTGATTTAACGAATCTCTATAACATACCCTATTTTATTCTTGCTATTTGAAGTTTGAATTCAGGATCTATTTAAAATGTCGAATTCTCAGTTTCTCATTTGAATATTGATGCTGAGTCAGGCCACCACGGTGAAAATAATAATGTGATACCAAGAAACAACGTGCCCCCTGTTGACCCTAAAGGCATTCCGATCACTGACTCAGTCAACGGCAATTCACAAGTTGCTATCAATACCGACCTACCGACTAATCCCGAAGACAACATTCCCGGGGTAGCCCGATCATCGGCTCGAGAAGTTCCCGAAGGGGGAGGTGATGAAGTTAGCTTACATTTGATTTTTGAATGTAACAAGCTCAACAAGTGTCAATAGTATTGCTGCAGAGTCAAAATCACACAGAACACGGCCGAACTTGAGCGGATTGGAGAAGATACTCGGAGAGAAGAATGGATTGTCACAGAACCAGATGGGTTCAAACCCGGGGAAACTTTCAAAGTGATGAAAATGCTTGAAGCATTGACAAAACGGGTTGAATTTGGCAAAACAAAGATAAAGGCAAATGACAAGAAGGTGGAGACTTACAATTTTAAGGTCGATCAAATTTCGGTAGTGCCTCCGATATTGAAGGGACCAGATTCCAAAAGTTCATTCAAAAGTATTTTCCCCCGAGTGCGGCACTGAAACCAATTATGAAAAGGTTCTGAATGACCAATATTCCCAAGTATAACGGAACCACATATCCAAACGAGTATGTCACCTCCTACATGTTTGCAATAAAAGGCAATGACCTCGAGGATGACGAGATCGAGTCGGCGTCACTGAAGAAATTTGGGGAAACCTTATCCAAGAGAGTGATAATAGGGTATCATAACTTACCCCTAAATTCTATTAATATGTTTGCTATGCTTGCAGGTGTCTTTGTTAAAGCCCACGCCGGCGCTATCAAAGTTGAAACGGGAAAATCAAACATGTTTAAAGTCAAGAAAAGGGATAACGAGATGCTTAAGGGATTCATATCGAGGTTCAAGATGGAACGAATGGACCTACCCCAGTCGCAAATATTTGGGCCGTTCAGGCATTTACTCATGGGCTCAACCCCTAAAGTTCAGTTGGTTCTCAAGATTTGAAGCAAAACTTGGTAGAATACCCATGCGGTCACCTGGGCCGATGTCCACAACAGGTACCAGTCAAAGATCAGAGTCGAGGACGATCAGTTAGGAGCCCTCTTGGGGTCTGTTTACTCCAATAGAGTGAATGACCAGTCTAAAAGAATTATGAATCAGGAGTCGAGGCCACACCGAGATCGATACCAGCCATACAACTTAGATAGAAGAGGAAACATATCTAATCTCCACCCGACCAGGAATGATAGGAGAAGTAACCAGGGTCCTAACAACCGAGGTTTGGCGAAGATAACAATTTTGACAGATCACCCAAGTTGGAGATGCCCTGGGATTATCAGAGAATAAATTAATGTGGATGCAACGAGTATAATGTCGACCATCGGTCGTATCGAGGAGACCAAATAGCCAAGGCCACTGAATTATGATTATAAGAAGAGGCTACCGTCATCAAGGTTGATCATTATGAAGTGTCATAATAGAATCGTCACTTCGAGATTGATGCAGCTGCAGAAAAACCCTTAAAAAGCGCTGAAAAACTGCAGAACCAATCAAATTAAGCCACGTGGCATGGGCATTAAACGTTTGTGACGTACGTCTCATCGATTCTGAAAAGAGCATTATGATACTCGAGAAACGGCGGCAAAGAATTCCCGTCATAAATACTTACCACTTCCCGAATATTCAGTTGAGAATATTCAGAAAGAAGGGAACTATCTGTATTAGTGGGAAAAAGGCATGACACGTGAATTATCATCGAGGTGACAGGGCATGGTACGTGGATCATCAATATAACATTAACTGACATTCTTAATTAGACAAGTTAAAGAATGCGAAGAAGCACGGGAAGAACATCCATGGGGTTACACTGAGAAAAGAACCGGGCCTGACAGCTGTAAAAGGAGAAACATGAGCGGAATGAATAAAGACCATTAAGAAGGGAAGATGCACAAACCCATCATAAATAAGGAAGGGAAATTGATACGGTTACGAGAAATTGTCATCCATAAATATTTCCGTTACAATTGTATATGGTAACAGGTAATCAAGGCAATTAATGTTATTAGTGAGCCCGAATCAAGTAAGAAAACCGTTATAATTGTATGTTCCTATATAAGGACTGAAACCTCATTTGAAAGATCATCTAAGTGATTAAAATTTATGCAATCATTCTTTACTTTATTCTCAAGGGTTTTATCGTAATTTTGGGAGTGATTATCAATCTATTTCGTATTTTCATTCCATGTCAATTATTTCCATTCCTTGCTTTATTCTTCAAATCACAGGAAAAGTGAAGTAAATCTTGGTTATCAGTAATCCGATTTCTTCTTGATTTTAATTTTGACCGAGAAATCTATTTTTGGGTTAAACAATGGACAAACATTTCCAACAAAAATGGCTAATAACAATTCGCACACAATGACACAAAAACCATCAAATTTCAGAATCAGATCAGTTCCTGAGTACACTTGAGGTTTTTTCTTATTTTCATGACAACGTAAAAAAAAAGAGACACATCATTTCTCAGAAACATTCTAGAAAAAAAATTAATAAACGACAGCCTGATGCACTAAGCTTCCACGTTATACGCAGAATCTGAGGAACGACTAGATCACATTGGATCTTAACAGTGTTTGGTGCAGAAGCAACGGCGGCGGAAGCCCCGGCAATGGCCGCCGTGAAAGCCCTCTGTCTGACAAACAGCAGCACAATTGCTCTTCCTTACGCATGGACCCTTGAATCGGTGGCTTTGGGACTCACAAGTCCTTGCCTCAGCCACCATTGTTCCCATCTCTGTACAAGAAATATCAGTACGTAAGTATGACACATGTAAATGAATCTTTACACTGTCTCGTTATCTAAAAAAAAACCGTTAGATAATTATTCATTATAAGTGAAATTAGTTAGTTGAAAATGAGAAAGACAATTTATTACCACATGTTAAATTATTACTCTGATAATTAAAAAGTATTTACACTATGAGTGTAGTGTATATACGTAAATCTTAAAAGAGTTTTACCACTTATGCTTTTGAGACGGCATATTTCCACAACTGATGGAAAGCATGACAAAAGAACAGGCTATTTTCTTTATTCTTGATTTTATAGAATACTTAGAAAAATTATACACTCTACCTCATGTTATATGGCACTTTTTTCTTTTTGTTCTACTTAAAGAAAAATGACACATTTCTGAAAAATTTTTAGTTTAATTTAAATAGATTCTTATTTATTCGTTAACAACATATCATCTTAAACCACAAGTTATAAGAATATTTTTTTTATGTGTTAAAAGTTTTTAATTCTTTGTTAAATTTCGTATTTTATCAAATACCCTCATATAAAATATAGTACATATTTTTTAGTAAATCTACCTAGCTATCTAAACATCATTACGACAAACATTTCTGAGCCAATATATATAACCTAGTTCTAAAATAAAAAAACCAAACAAGTAAAAGAAAATACCAGTGGCAAAAATCAGCATCAGCATAAGGAAAACAGTTGCAAACAATTTCTTAAAGCCAGCCATCTCTTTTCTATCACAGTGTAATTAGAGAGAGAGAAGATCAAGATCACTGGAAATTAAGAGTGAAGAGACCATTAATAAACTAGGTATATATATAGTATTGTAAGGTATGAGCAGACAGCAGTCTAAAGTGAATTATTGAACCGGGGGGGGGGG